ATACACATCTGGCGCTTGGTTCTGTTCAGAAACATGACCCGAGAGTACATGTGTCATGCCATAAACTCATTTTCACAAAAATGTCGCTTGGTTCCTTTCTGATGAGCATTACCCAACACTGAAAGTAGGTATTACACAGTAGGTACACTGTTCGTTGACAGTCCAAAATGAATTCTGAAATACTATAAAATGCTGAACAGGTTCTACCGATTCTTCAACTCATCAGCATGTTGAAAAAGTTTGCCGCAGCATATTTTGGTGATTTTTTATAAATCGAGTAGTTGACAATTTTCAATCTAGATTGGTTTCTTTGACGGGTTGGGTAGTGGTGGACAACCGCATTTTGAATAAAATAGTTTTTATGAATGTAGGCAAATATTAATAATTTATACAAATAGATACTCGTAAACGTCAATATTCTTTTTTCTTTGAAAACATATCTGCGAAATTCTTGAAAGCCCAAGTGGAATATCAATCATATGATTCTTTTCTGTGCTATGAATGTTCATCGACGGTTACTCTGGTTTTCTATATTTTTGTAGTCATAGCTTGTTTCCGTGGTTTATCAGGAAGAATGAAGTCAGTACTATCCACCTCGTAACTATCAACCTCTTTGACATCAATGTGTTGAATAGAACTTAGTTTTTTTAGGAAACTGCTTTCTGAAAGTGGAATCTAGTCTGCGAAGCATACTATTGAATGCTGCTACTTTTTGCTAATATGGATGTGTCGATGAGTTATGTATGGCATTGATATAATGCAAGTGATAGTCAAAAGATGAATATTTACACGAAAGCGAATTAGAACTCATTACTTTTGGGTCGAAGCCAGAGGCGTACCAATACAAAAATCATACTCCTTTTTTTTGAAAGACATTTATTGTGGAAGAGTCGAAGAAAAAAAAGCCGTTTGCAATGGGGAATGTTCCTCCTGACGAAAATCAAGTAGTTTTCATAAAAGAGCTCTAAAACAACGCATTTTAAACTTATCATTTCAACCTCAAAAATTAAAACCCAACATTTGAAACATCAATTTGAATACTTTTTGAAGTGAATTTGAAAAACTCATGAATTAAACTCAACTTTATTTTGTTCAAACTTGCATTTGCTGTAATAACCCAAATTGAGGAACATTCCCCATTGAGGCTTTGTAAACAATGCATTTTTTTGGGTTTCGAAAACGGAAAAGGATTATATTTCGTAACGTCAATAACCTGAAGGAAGCTGGGTATGGTTATTTTTTCCATTTATGATTCAATTAGTAGTCAAAATTCATGAATACGACAAGTTAAGGGACTCAGTGGACCTTTCACTGGCAACTTTTCAGTGTGTGTCCTTCATCCCACTTCAGCGGATTATCTATTGATTCATCTTTATGGTTATACCTACACTCTGAAGACAGTGAGAGAAATACTTTATTGGTTTCACTGAACAACGTTGTATGCGTCTCATAAACCTGAAGAAATATCTCAGCGATTTTGTACCATCAGATTCGCAGTTAAAAATTTATTCGAAGCCGGGATAGCCCGTTATTTACATTTCAATTTTTCACTTTGATGTCTATTCCGTCTAATTACAAGACTTCATTCGTTTCGATAAATGGTCTTTTGAGATGCAGATGAACATTCATTCCTTCTGATTACTTTTTCCAATTCGCATTCAGTTTCAACTGGAACCCTTTCATGTGATGTTTGCTGAATTAGGTCAGATGAAATGTTTTGATGTTTCACACGTGTTGAGGATAGAAAATCACTATTCAGTAGGATATCACATCCTAGAATCACTGTGAAAATGAAAAATATATAAACCATGAAAAAAACAATACTCATACACTATTCTTCGAAACACATTTTATCAGTAGGGAATGATACTTCTCATACTATTTTCAATTTGAAATCTTTAAAATGATACGAACTCATTCGAGAGACGTAGAAATTTCAGCGGACATCTCTTTCAGACCCAAACGACGATTTTCAGTCAACATTTTCTTTACTTTAGCGATGTTGATGGCCGACCAGAGCGAGGCACATCTTTCACCACATTTCGACCACTTTTACCATGTGTGTTTGATGAAGTCGATTCCTCGTGAGTCATACGAAATTTAAAATTCAATTTAATAAATGTATTCACAATGAATATTAGGTTTCTCATTCTTATGTGTTGCTCGATCGTTAACTGAACCAGTGGATTCAAATTTATCCATCACATTGCGAATAGTCCAATTATGTTTTCTGAGCAAGTATTGAGTACGAGCGAAGTCTATGGAAGGGATATAGTTAGCGATGGCAGCGCACGGTGTGGCAGAATTGTGTAACAAAAGGGTTTAGTGAAACTTGTCAAACGCTGTTTTGAAGATGGGTCATTATTCTTGATGTGTTATAAACTGCAAAAATACTAGTGGAAATAGTCAGTGTAAATTCAATATTTTTCCAAAAGCAGCCTGGAAAATAGATCAAAGAATTAGATGGATAGCTGCGGTTAAATAATCTGCAGCAGATATTTAGTCTCGGATATCACAACAAATGAATTGATAATGGAAATAGAAAATCAAAGTCAACCTCGTCTGGCGAATCAAGGATGTCAAGTTAATATCTTTTCTGAAATCAATTTAAAGGAAACAACCTTTATTTTCAATAGTTTTATTAACACTGATCACTGTGATGCAGAAATTCAAGTAGATATTGCAACAACTACAAAAATTGTAACAACAACTTGTCCCAGAAAAAAAGATAAAAAGCTGTTGCACCAACAAAAACTCATTTCAAGACCAGTCTTCTGAAACTACAAGCCGAGAATTTGATGGTATCTCATCAATAAAAAATAATTATGAACTGCTAGATCTCGCTGGCGTGTCATTCAATAATTTCCATTTTTTACTAACCAAATTATTAACTGAGACAAAATGTACAGTTTCAATTAAAGAGCAGCTTCTAATATTTTTAATGAGAATTGAAACTGGCTCAACATATTCAGCATTCAGCGTGTTATTTGGTAAACACAGAACAACTATCTCACGAATTTTTCATTCAATCTTAAAAAAATTAGCTTCTGTATCTGCTGATTTGGTATTTTGGCCTACTAGAGCTGCAGTACGGGAACAATGCCAGAGTGTTTCAGTCCAGATTACACCAATACAAGAGTAATTATTGACTGCACTGAATTCAGAATAGAAGTACCATCAGCAGTGGATGATCGTGTTGCTTGTTGCTCCCATTACAAAGAAGGTTTCACTGCAAAAGTTCTTATAGGAATTACTCTCGGAGGATTTATTCCATTGAAATCCAAAGTAGCGGGTGGGAGAAAAACAGACTCACAAATAACAGTAGAATCTGGTTCAATTGATCTTCTAGAAGCTGGAGATGTAGTTTTAGCAGATAAAGGTTTTCCTGCAATTAAACAAGTTCTAGATCAAAGTGGCCAAGAAATTAGAATTATTATGTCTCCATTTTTTCTTCGACAAAACAAAATAATTTCTTCAATGAATTGTTCATCATGGTTAACTTGTACAGCCACACTGGCATTTCTCAATGGTGATTAGACAAAAATATCACATATTGTCATTCCAGTCACATACATTTGTGACTGGACTTGAGTGTAGTATGGACTTGATATGTAGTAGTATTTCTAAAACATTGTTTATAAGAACTCAGTAATCCACATTGTATAAATTATTAGCAAAGTCAACTACAGGTTTTTATTCACATGAAATTGGACATTTTACTTCGACAAACTTTGTCACACATCCATCTTCAACCACTACTCCATCAATTCTAACGCACAGCCAAGGTTGCTCTTCACTAATAATTGCACCAACAGTTTTCACTTTACAGAAATTTATTTTTTCGTAAAGTAATATAGCGTCTTTTTCATTATGTAAGCCATACTGGGTTGCAACATAATCAATTTTCTTTGGTTTTAAAATACTTGACACTAAACTTTGTATTGATTTGGTTTTACGTGATTTTATACTGTGTATATTTTTCCTCAAGTGCCTAATTGCATACCAGTTTGGACATTCTGATTGCTTCATTGTATTACAACAAATGTTAATTATGTCGTTACAGCTACACATTTCTTATAATATTCTTCTAGATCTTCTGCTAACGAATAATCACGTTTGTATAATTGAAATCCACTACTAACTGTAAAAAAAAAGTTTGAACAAGCTAAGCAGTCTTCTTTCTCCAAATCAACTTTGTCCGATGTTTCAGATACAACTTCAGTTACTAGGCTTGAATCCAGAGTCTGCTCTGTTGCCTGTAATATTCGTTTCAACGATAACTCTTGCAATAATTCATCATACCTTATTATTGATTGTGGTTTACAACATTCAGTCTTGGATAATAGGAGTGACCACCATCTACAAATTATTGAAACATTTCCTATAAATCGCAAGAAAATGAAGTATAGAATTGAAAGTTAGAATAGAACTGAATAATTTTTCTAGAAATATCTATTACCTACACTCCAGATTGTGTTGATGGATTTTATGACAATCTTATGACATACTTGATAATGGGTTTGACCCCATTATCAAGTATGAAACTATAGGTACTTGATAATGGGATCAAACCCGAAACCGGTCTATAAATAAAATCAACTAGTGGTAATTAGGCAAAAGTGTTGTTATTCATTTCATTAAAGTGACTATGAATTACCACAAAATAAACAAGTCATCAATCACACATATTGAAACTTGATACCTTTATAATGAATCAAATATTGCCCAAATTTTGATTTCATTCTCATCATCTCATCAATTTTCGATTGCCCGAATATTTTGTCAAATGGTTGTATTGGGTTCGTCACCAATGATTTTGAAAGAAAAAATTGAATGTTTGATATTATTTTAGCTAAATGAATGAAGGTACATAATTTGAATTTATGTAATAATTACAAATATATTAGTTTTTTGGTTTGACTCCTTACAGTTCAACTTGAATATACACCTTATAATTTTGTTCTGAAGTTATTTCTTGAAAAAGTGTTCCTTCCTTTCAGGACTGACGGCATCCTTCCATCTCTCGTCAGATTAGGAAACAACGCAGACAACAAAGACAAGCGATGGTACGTTTTCGACGGTCCCGTTGACGCGGTTTGGATCGAGAACATGAACACCGTCTTGGACGACAACAAGAAGTTGTGTCTGAGCAGCGGAGAGATCATCAAGTTGCGGGACACGATGACGATGATGTTCGAAGTAGCAGATTTGGCGGTGGCCTCTCCGGCAACGGTGTCCAGATGCGGAATGGTCTACCTCGAACCGGGGGTATTGGGATTGGATCCGTTCATCAACTGTTGGATGAAACGGTTACCAGAGGTGAGGACTCTCGAAATTTTGTGCATGAGAATCATGCCACTATAGCTTTCGTAAAGCCTATCGACAAATTTATCATCAATACTACTATTCCTGCCACTTAATAATGAAAATAATGATGATAATAATAATAATACTCGTCGTCCAATCGCTTTCTGAATCGTAAGGAACGGCGTGTACACAAGATGGAGGCTAAGATCAAGTCGGCGAGACAACACGCGTCTCGTATCCAATGTGTGATGGATTACAGGGTGGCAACAGGCCTTTCACGCCCGCAGTGCGGCGAATAGACGTCAAACTACGACGTATCCACCACATGAAAATGGAAAAGGGCGAATTCATACATTTTTAGACTTGACAATAACAAAAGTTAACAACAAACAGGATTTTTCAATTTATCGTAAACCGGCACATACAGATTCATCATTTATAATTCGTCCACTCACCCATATCAGCATGAGGTAGCAGCTTTAAATAGTATGATCCCCAGACTGACAAATGTACCCTTGTCAGAAGCGAATTTCAATAAAGAACTGGATAGAATAAAGCAAATAGCCGTCAACAATGATTACGATAGCGGTCTGATACATTCTTTATTATAAAAAAAGTTATATAGTCATGCTTTGAAATAAGTTTACCCAATTCGAAGAGAAGAGGATAGAACTTATAGAACCTTAACCTACTTAGGCCAACCCACTACAAATATTTCAGATTTTCTGCACAGCAAAGGTGTCAATACTGCTTTCAAAACCAACAACAACTTGGGTATGCACATTAAAATTAACAAAGATAAAAGTTCAGTTTCAGGAAAGTCAGGAGTTAAATTATCGTGTGGGTCATGTCCGATGTTTTATATGTGAGAACGTTCAGAACCCGTATAAAGGAACACAAATATAGTTTTCAGAATGGAAAAATGAATTCCACATATGCCAGTCATTTGATTTCAGAGGGACATGAGTTCAACCATGAATACAGACCGCTCCATTTCCAGAAGAGAGGTTTGAAACTTAATCTGTTGGAGAGTATGGAAATAAACGAATTCATTATTGAATCTGTTCATTCGTAGGTAAAAATAGTTAGGTATATTAACAGGTATACTTTCAGGTATACCTGGCCTTTTCAGGTAGATTCATTATTCAGGTAGACGAATAGGTACTAGGTTATAGTATACAATGGTGTAATTTAGAAGTACCTCTCAGTTTACGCTTGAAGAAGCTATTGTATAGCGAAACACGTGTCGCAGTTTTGTAAAAATAAACTGTTCAAATAAAAAATTGTACAAATAAACTGTACTGATTAGTTGGTGAACGTAATTATTTCAGTAGTTTTTACATTCAAGCCTAACTTCCGATTTTTTTCAACGCGTTGTCAATTAGTTGCTTTGGATATTAATGTTCACGGTGACTTTCATAAATAGTAGTGTCATCGGCATACTGAATCGTATTGAAGGGGTCCATATTTCATCTACTGAAGACGCCAATTTGATTGTTCATTGTTTCCGATTAATTATTCATCATCCTGTCGTTTGTCTTACAAACATGTATGTTTTTTTACATTATCGAAATAAATTTTAGTATTCACTTCTTCATCCTGGAATTTTTTCCAGTTAGCGAAACGGTTCGCAGAGGACCTTCGAGAATTATTCCATTACTACGTTTTACCAGCGATTGAGATGGTGCGGAATAATTTGAAGGAGATATTGACATCCGTCGATTCGGCATTGTTAATGACTTTCCTTCGTCTGATGGATTTTCGGCTGGGTCCTTTGGCTGGCAGGGATAACAAACCCCCGCCTGCCCCGCAATTCCTCGCCTTGATGAGTAAGTAGAGATGAGTTGATGTTCGAATAGATTATAGTCTTTACGGATTCCAAAACGAATACGTTGATCCTCCTCCACTCCTGTTTTATTCAAGAATAAAATTATTATGAAACGTTGTTTTTCTAGTTTTTCGAATATGAAAAAAGTATTTTTATTATAATGATATCTTGATTGTTTCTGGAATAAAATCAATGAAAACTTTTCAGTTTGTATCATACTTTTGTTGAAAAGTTGATAGGGTCCATTGGTCAATGACAAGATATTTGAACTTTCATTGCCTTGAAAAATGTTGACATATTTCAAATCTATTAGAAAATAAATATTCAAATGAAGTATTGAAAAATACTGAGAAGTTATATTGGAGAAAGTAAATCAATTTAAAAAATATCTGCAACCCATGGGTGTTCTGTAAACTTTTTTTAACATTCCCACAGATAAAAATCTAAGGATTGAAATCGGGTGACCTCGGTGGCCAATTCCATGGTCCCAAGCACCTTCCTTATCCACCGATCGTCAAAATGTCTGAGTTCTGCGCTCACTTCTCTTGTACAATGTGCAGGAGCTCCACCTAGTTGACACCAACATTTTCAATATTTTTCGAGTGGCAGATTATCGACGAAGCTCTCTACAGTGTACTCAAATATTCAGGTAGCTTCTGGATATTAATAATTTCTCGTATATCGCGTGCCTCAATTTTTTGTCCTTCACCATGCAGAAGACATCAAAACTGAATATTTCTTGAAATCCGGCCTCTTTTGTGACATAGGGATTTTCACAAGACCAATGATGACAATTTTTTCTATTGAAAATTACTTCTCTCGAAAATTTAGATTCATCAGTTCAAATAATGTATTTCAAAAAATGGATCTTTTTGAATGCATATCAACAACATTTCATAAAATTAAATTCTCTGTTGAGGATCTTGAGGCTTCATTGCTTGGATTTTGGTGAATTTATGAACATGCATTTTATGTTTTTGCGACATTCTTTAATAATAATAATAATATCGTTCATTATGCATAAAATACATTTATACATAAAAGGAAAAGGGTTAGCCAAAGGCTATCTTCCACCCCTCCCAAAAATTATACAGTGAATATGAGAAAATAATTATAAACATACTTATTTACTATCATAACAATAATAGAGAAGAGAAAAAATAACACATCAAATAGTTGCTAATAACTCTTAATATTCTTAACATTATTTTGGTCAATTTAAAAATTTCATTGCACTACCTTACATTGAATTTGAAATTTTTTAAATTAGCACTGATCAGTAAGCATCTGTGATTTTATTTCTTTCTTGAATTGATGAATAGTATGATTCAAAAAGGGGTAAAATTTTATTCAGAAAAGAAGGGGCTATAAAAAAACATCCTTGAAATTTGGAAGTACGGTGCCTAGGTATGTTGAATGAGTCCAATATTTTTATCAAATATTGGACTCTGTACCTCACATTCAGCTACTTGATTTTTAACAAAAATGGGGTGACATGTTCACCATATGGTATACAGCATACGAATCGCATGCAAGCATTTTGTATACGTTGTAACTTCTGTTTGTTATATTGCGGCAAAAAATTTAATCCAGTCATTTAAGCTTAAATTAGGTAAGAATCTCGGAATTCGAGATACCCAGCTGTTAGTCTGTAAATACTTGTATATTGACACCCTAAAAGTTGTTTCGAAACCTACATATGGTAGGGTGTAAGCAACTATTAAATTTCAAGGTCAAAGGTCACAAAAATCGGTTTTTTGCGCTTTTTTTGGAAATATCTCATTTCCTATGGGTTTTTTGCTATTTGTATTCATTATCAATATTGTAGAATACAAAATTCTCTACAAA